TCTAGTTATATGACGGCCACATCATCTCCCTTGTCCAGGGCTCATGTCACCTGGTCATAAAAGGAGATGAGGTTGGTCAGGCAAGACCTGCCAGTCTCAAAGCTGTGTTGGCTGGCCTTCAGAAGCTTGCCTTCCAATAGTCTGGTGTTGATGGATCCCTTGACAATTTTCTCTAGGCTTTTTCCAGGGATGGACTTCAGACTTATTGGTCTATAATTCTCTGGGTCATCCCTCCTCCCTTGCTTGAAGATAGGGACCATGTTGGCCCTTTTCCAGTCTTCTGGGACCTCACCCAAGCACCACAAATTTTCAAATATCTTTGCCAAGGGGGATGCAATGATATCTGCCAGCTGTTTCGAGACTCTTGGGTGCATTCCATCTGGGCCCGTGGACTTGTGAATGTCCAGATTCTCAAGGTGTTCCTTCAGCTGATCCACTCTATTTTGGGCCCACCACCCACTCCCAGGCTGGTTTGTGTCCTTTCTGACAGTGTGATCCCCTTGGGAGGGCAAAAAAGTTGTTTAGGAGATTGGCCTTTTCTTTGGTGTTGGATGTCAGCTGCCCCGCTTGATCCTGCAGGGGCCCAATGCTATCTTTATTCTTTTTTCAACTTCCCACATATCTGAAGAATGGCATTTTGTTGTCTTTAATCCCTGAAGCTAGCCTGAGTTTGGCTTGTCCCTTGGCTTTTCTGGACTGCTCCCTACAGGTGCGGCTGAGTGCTGAGTAGTCCTCTTTAGTGATGCTTCCCATTTTCCAACTGGAGTAGGCTTTTCTTTTGAGGTTAATGAGGTCCAACAGTTCCTTGTTCAGCCAAGGGGGCTTCCTTACCAATTGATTACATTTCATGTGGGGTGGAATGGCTTTCCCCTGTGCCTCAAGGATTATGTTCTTGAGAGATGATCATTCCTCATGTACTCTCTTATCTAGGGGGGTACGGCCCCTAATTGCCCGACTTACCAAATCTCTGAGTTTACAAAAGTCAGCCTTTCCAAAGTTAAGGATTTCTGTTTTACTGAGGGATTTGCCTCTTTGGTGAACTGAGAAGGTAACCAAATCATGGTCGCTATTACCAAGCTTCCCCTTGATCCTCAGATTGCTCACCAGGTCCTCCCCTTTGGCCAGGACCAGATCAAGCAATGCTTCTCCCCTAGTCTGCCCATAGACTTCCTCTGTTAGGTAGAGGTCATCAGTGCAAGCAAGAAAGCTGTGTGACCTGTCTGATTTGACCGTGCACTCATCCCAAGAGATGTCAGGGAAGTTGAAGTCCCCCATGATGATCGTGCATTGAGAGCGTGCGGCCTCAACCAGTTCCCGAATGAATTCTCGATCAAGTTCTTCCTCTTGGTGGGGAGGTCTATAGTAGACTCCCACAAGTATGTCACCCTCCCCATGTTCTCCCTGTATTTTGACCCAGAGTGTCTCAAGATGCCCTTCCTGGTTAGAAAGCACAATTTGCAGGGAAGTGAACTGATCCTTGATGAAAAGAGCAACACCCCCAGTCCTCTTTCCAAGATGGTCTCTCCTGTATAAGGTATAAAACTCCAAAACAAGAGACCAGTCATAGGTAGAGTCCCACCAGGTCTCTGTTATCCCTACAAGGTATAGTCATTTTCATATAAAAGAAGGGCCAGTTCCTCTTGCTTGTTTCCCAAGCTCCTGGCATTTGTGTATAGGCAGTTGAGTCTGCCATGAGAAGCCCCATGCTTCCCTATGGGGTGAGGCGGGACCTTTTCTTGGGCTGTCATCAGAGCAGGTTCCCTTGGGCTGCCCAAGTTATTGGTAATCTTGGGGAGCTCTGGTGAACAGCTGTTCTCCCAGGTCCTGATGTACCCCTCTTATAAAACTACCAACTCACCCCTGAGCCGTCTCTTTTCCAGACTGAAGAGTCCCAAATCTCTCAGCCTCTTGTCATATGGCCTGATCTCCAGGCCTTGGATCATACAAGTGACTGTCCTCTGGACTCTCTCAAGCTTTTCCACATCCCTCCTGAAGTGGGGGGCCCAAAACTTGACATAGTACTCCAGCTGCAGCCTCACCAAGACAAAGTACATTGGGAAGATGATGTCCCTGGTTTTGCTTGAGATGCATCACTAGATGCATGCCAGAGTTTGGTTTGCTTTGCCAGCCACAGCATCACATTGGTGGCTCATATTCATCTTGTGGTCAATCAGGCCCTCCAAGTATCTTTCGGTTGTGGTGCTAGCAAGCGCAGCACTGCCGAGCTTGTAAGTGTGTTGAGGGTTCTTCCTATCGAGGTGAAGCACCTTACACTTTTCAACACTGAAGGCCATCCGGTTTTAGTCAGCTCACCTTGAGAGGGTGTCCAACTCAGCCTGTATCCCCAGCCTGTCCTGTGGTATGACTGCCATCCCCCATAATTTGGTGTCATCCGTGAACTTTGCCAGTTTGCATCTGACTCCCGACTCCAGATTGTTAATAAAGATATTAACCCTGAGGGCCCTGAGGGACTCCACTGCTCACCCTGCGCCACATTGATTTGCTCCCATCAACTAGTACTCTTTGGGTCCGACCCCATAGCCAGTTACTTAGCCATCGGACCATAAGATGATCAAGGCTGCATTTCCCCAGCTTAGGACATTGTGGGGAACTATGTCAAAGGCTTTCTTGAAATCTAGTTATATGACGGCCACATCATCTCCCTTGTCCAGGGCTCATGTCACCTGGTCATAAAAGGAGATGAGGTTGGTCAGGCAAGACCTGCCAGTCTCAAAGCTGTGTTGGCTGGCCTTCAGAAGCTTGCCTTCCAATAGTCTGGTGTTGATGGATCCCTTGACAATTTTCTCTAGGCTTTTTCCAGGGATGGACTTCAGACTTATTGGTCTATAATTCTCTGGGTCATCCCTCCTCCCTTGCTTGAAGATAGGGACCATGTTGGCCCTTTTCCAGTCTTCTGGGACCTCACCCAAGCACCACAAATTTTCAAATATCTTTGCCAAGGGGGATGCAATGATATCTGCCAGCTGTTTCGAGACTCTTGGGTGCATTCCATCTGGGCCCGTGGACTTGTGAATGTCCAGATTCTCAAGGTGTTCCTTCAGCTGATCCACTCTATTTTGGGCCCACCACCCACTCCCAGGCTGGTTTGTGTCCTTTCTGACAGTGTGATCCCCTTGGGAGGGCAAAAAAGTTGTTTAGGAGATTGGCCTTTTCTTTGGTGTTGGATGTCAGCTGCCCCGCTTGATCCTGCAGGGGCCCAATGCTATCTTTATTCTTTTTTCAACTTCCCACATATCTGAAGAATGGCATTTTGTTGTCTTTAATCCCTGAAGCTAGCCTGAGTTTGGCTTGTCCCTTGGCTTTTCTGGACTGCTCCCTACAGGTGCGGCTGAGTGCTGAGTAGTCCTCTTTAGTGATGCTTCCCATTTTCCAACTGGAGTAGGCTTTTCTTTTGAGGTTAATGAGGTCCAACAGTTCCTTGTTCAGCCAAGGGGGCTTCCTTACCAATTGATTACATTTCATGTGGGGTGGAATGGCTTTCCCCTGTGCCTCAAGGATTATGTTCTTGAGAGATGATCATTCCTCATGTACTCTCTTATCTAGGGGGGTACGGCCCCTAATTGCCCGACTTACCAAATCTCTGAGTTTACAAAAGTCAGCCTTTCCAAAGTTAAGGATTTCTGTTTTACTGAGGGATTTGCCTCTTTGGTGAACTGAGAAGGTAACCAAATCATGGTCGCTATTACCAAGCTTCCCCTTGATCCTCAGATTGCTCACCAGGTCCTCCCCTTTGGCCAGGACCAGATCAAGCAATGCTTCTCCCCTAGTCTGCCCATAGACTTCCTCTGTTAGGTAGAGGTCATCAGTGCAAGCAAGAAAGCTGTGTGACCTGTCTGATTTGACCGTGCACTCATCCCAAGAGATGTCAGGGAAGTTGAAGTCCCCCATGATGATCGTGCATTGAGAGCGTGCGGCCTCAACCAGTTCCCGAATGAATTCTCGATCAAGTTCTTCCTCTTGGTGGGGAGGTCTATAGTAGACTCCCACAAGTATGTCACCCTCCCCATGTTCTCCCTGTATTTTGACCCAGAGTGTCTCAAGATGCCCTTCCTGGTTAGAAAGCACAATTTGCAGGGAAGTGAACTGATCCTTGATGAAAAGAGCAACACCCCCAGTCCTCTTTCCAAGATGGTCTCTCCTGTATAAGGTATAAAACTCCAAAACAAGAGACCAGTCATAGGTAGAGTCCCACCAGGTCTCTGTTATCCCTACAAGGTATAGTCATTTTCATATAAAAGAAGGGCCAGTTCCTCTTGCTTGTTTCCCAAGCTCCTGGCATTTGTGTATAGGCAGTTGAGTCTGCCATGAGAAGCCCCATGCTTCCCTATGGGGTGAGGCGGGACCTTTTCTTGGGCTGTCATCAGAGCAGGTTCCCTTGGGCTGCCCAAGTTATTGGTAATGCGGCTGACATGACCTGGGCTAGAACTGTTAATAGACTGCCCCCCAGCGGTCTTAGTTTAAAGCCCTGTCAAGAAGGTCAGCTGTTCAGGTTGAGAAGAGCTTCTTCCCCTTTCAGGTAAGGTGGAGGCCATCCCTTCCCAACAGTCCACTCTCTCTGAAGTGTGGACCATGATCAAAGAAGCCAAACCCCCCATAATAACACCGTCACCGGAGTCTTCTATTCATCTCACCAATGCACCTTTTTCTCCAGAGCCCATGTCCTGTGACTGGGAGGATTGATGAAAAAATTATCTGTGCCCCGAGACCCCTGAGCCCAGCCCCCAGAACCCTGTAGTCACACATGACCTGGCCTGGACTGCTCCGTGCTGTATCATTTGTGCCCACATGGATGAGTAACATGGGAGAGTGGTTGGAGGGCTGGATAGGTTTGGGGATCCTCTCCATCACATCCCAGACCTGAGCTCCAGGCAGGCAGCAGACCTCATGGGCTAAGGGGTCAGGGCGACAGATTGCTCCTTCTGTCCCCCTAAGGAGGGAGTTACCCGTCATGATAACTCTGAGCTTTCTTCTGGGCACAGGTGGAAAGCCTGAAGGTAAGAGAGATGCTCCTGCTCTGCATCTCTAATGGAGCGCAGCCACTGGACCGTTGCCTGGCATACCCTAATCTGGCACTCCAGGGCCTCCAACACTGAGCACACCCCACAAGGGGAGGTATCAGTGCCCCCAAACCCAGCTGCCTGCAGTCTTGGTAGGCAGCCTCCACATGGAGCCAGGGACCCATCTGAGTGGAGGCTGGGGAGCCTCAGGCCTTCCTGATCACCCTACTGTGCAAACTCCTGCGCTAACTCACCTGCCAGGCAAACAAGCGTGCCTGTTTGTACATCCTGTTCGCACAGTTCCCTGGGGGCTGGGCCAAGTAGGAGCTGGGGTGGTGCAGACCCCTCCTTGGCTCCTCTCAGCTGCCTCCCCGCAGCTGGCTAGTCCCTCCCACCACGGGCCCTGCTTACCTCCGGCTCTGCTGGGGGTCAGGCAGGGTCCGCTGCCACTGCTGGAGGTCTTTGGGGTGCAGGGGCATGACAGGCTTACACCCATGCATCTCTCACCACTCCCTGACCCAAACTGCAGCTTTTTTTCCGTTGGCAAGCCCTTTTAAACTGATTTTCCTCTTGTTTCTTCCATTGAGTCCTGGGAAGCTCAAAGATGGGAAAAGCATTGGGGAAAACTCTGTCTTTTAATGCTACTTATAAGAGACCTGAGCTGATTTTCTGGCTTGAGTGGATTGAGGTTTATTGTGGGGGGGTCCCTTTGGTTTTCCTTCCAGTGAACCAGAAAAAACTGCTGAGGTAATTCAAACAGCATTCAGACAAGCAACCTTCCCTAATATCACTGGGGAAAAATCCATTGGCAAATTGACCTATGGATTAACAGAGTAAGTACCAGGAGACAGATTTGCAACTTCCTTTTGTAACTCAAGTTGTGTCACCCTATAAAAAAGGTATTCATTTTCCTGAAAGAAGCTTTGAAGGGAGATTCAGATTTGCTGTGTCTAAAATGGTGCATGGAAGAAAGAAGCAATTTTGTGTTATTCTGTGCCTGAAAGTCTTTCCTGATTCAAGCAGAGGCCCACATCACTTAGCTGGTATTAGGGCAAACACAATTTGCTTATCATGCCATTTGGATCAATAAGTTACCAGAAACCTACAGAGCCAACAAAAATCTCTTTGAGGGCCAGTTCAGTTACATCATTGGAAGACAGCAAAGCTAATGGTGGAGGCTGTTCACAGTGTAGAGCAGGTCACTGAAAATATAAGGGAGGTAATCCAAATGCATTATTGTCAGCGAGTACTATTTAAACAGCTGCCTACACAGAGTCCACTGGCTCAGAACTTGATGTGCTGTTTCAGTTGCTGTGGCACAGGTAATAGCTTCTAAGTGGACTTTGAAACCAGGTGCCAAAGGGGCTGATTTTAAAACACTGCCCGAGTCAGGTACCTTCAAGTCTCTAAATTCACATCTGAATCAATTGTTCAGAAAGGATACTGGGCTTGGCCTTTGAATCTGTGCCCATCACAAACCATTGCATGTTGTCCAGTGGAACTTCCTCCAGTCTTGGGACTGGGCAGAATATTCTTTGCATATTACTGTGCTGTAGTTTTTCTACTAACAGCTGCTGCTTTCCACCCTGTCTTTGTAAGGCTCTGCTCCTGCAGTGTGGTAAGTGATGGTGATTCAATCTCAAGCCTCTGGATTTTAAAGCGTGTCTCTGTTGCCAGAACTTAAAGATCCATCTCCATTGATCAAGGCTGTCACAGACTCATCAGCAGGGATCCTGGTTTTCTGTGATAAACAAATCACAAATTGCAAATTCTCTGATAAAAATCCCCAAATCAGTGGTTAAAATTAAATGCACCCCTACAGCCCTGCTGGTGCCCCTTGCCCCCCACCTACAGCTTCTGCCCCCCAGCCCTGCTGGAGGGGGCCCCCAGCTGCCAGGGCTGTGGGGCCAGGGACCCAGGTCTGCAGGCCCCTGCCCCCAATGGAAGGCAGTGGTTGCTACAGCCGGAGCACGAGCCAGCTCCCCCCCTGCTGCTGCTTGCTGCAGGCTTGAGCAAAGCCATCTCCCAGTGGCAGTGTGCACTCCTGGGGAGCAGGGAGGACCTGCACCCCCCAGATCTGTGTGGGGGATGGGGGCGGGGCGGATGTGCACTGCTCCCATGCATGCAGAGGAAGTGTGGTCAGGGCAGCACGGAGCTTGCAGCGGCAGGCAGCTTTCATACGTGGCCCTGCTGTGCTAGTCACACATGCTTGCGCTCTGGAGAGCCTGGGAGGAGGGCAGCAGGGCGGGGAGCACAGCTTTTGTGACCCATGGTTTGCAGCTGGCCAGGCACTCTGGTTGGGAGGGGGTTTACAGCCTGCCTGCTCCCAGCCAGAGTGCTTGTCTGGCTGGAAAACCCCACCGCTTCAGGCCAACTGCAAACCCCCGCTCCTGGCCAGAGTGTCCAGCCAGGGTGTGCCGAAGCTGGCTGGAGGCTGAGGGAGCAAGGAGGTTTGCAGCTGCCTGGGAGTGGTGGGGGTTTCCAGCTAGCGGAGCACTTCGGTGGGGAGCGGGGAGGATGCAAACCCGTTCCTGGCTGGAGTGCCTGGCTGGCTGCAAACCTCCCTGCTCCCTCGGCCCCTAGTCAGCTTCCCCCCCAGCCCTGCCCCACAACCCCCAAGCCCCACTTACCTCCAGCAAGGCGGGTGAGCCTGAAGCAGCCCCTGGTGAGTGCGTGTCGGGCCCTGCCCTTCCCCCACTTCAGGCAGGGTTGAGGGTTTCCTCACCCCTTTTGCAAACAGCTCCCAGAGGCTGGGACCCTGCCAGCCTGCCGAGCTCTTTGCAAAAGGGGGAAATCCATGGGTTTCTCTTCTAAAAGGGAAAAATCCATGTTTTCTCTGATAAAAATGGGGAATCTGTGGTTTTCTCTGTTTTTCCTTGGGGAATGGAAAACCAGAATCCCTGCTCATCAGCTACTCTGTGTAGCCCAGTCACCAGCAGAGGGGAGCAAAGCACTGTTGAGGAAGTGTGGGATATCATGGATGTGGGCCAGATAAAACAATATGTGCATGCAGCCTGAATTTTGTTTTATAAAGCTTTTGGGATGCAAGGTGCTATTTTATATTGAAGTTTTGTGTTTCTGTTGTATTATTAATTTCATGCTACTGATGGTTAACATAATTATGCAGGAGCCGTGACAAGAACGCAAGATTATCATTACTAGGAGCAGTGTGAACAAGAAGTAGCAATGCAATGGGATGTGATAAAACAACTTCCTGTAGTATCTCATTTAGAAACTGTCAGGTAACATATAGAATTAAATGGGGCTACAGAATTAGTTTCTTGCTCCTTCTTTTGTTACTTATTATTAAGGCAGGGGCCAGGGAGAAAAGAAACAACATACTAAGCTTTCTGAGTGCCTCAAACAGTTTGTTTTCTTCTGTAGCATACAGATCAGCAACTTGTCCATAGAAAACAATGAGGTAGATTTTAAGGAAGATGATGCTGTAGACCTTGCCATCCAAAACCTGAAAGCATCCTTCAAAGGGACCCTAAACTATGGTTACACAGGTGCCTGGCTATAAGTACACAGGAATTGCCAATCTGAAGAAAATCCAAGGTCCCTGTAGTCTGAGACCCTGCCTTCAGTGCTGTACCTAGACTCCTGGTGGCCCCTGGTGAGCTTTTCATATTGGGCCCCTGTAACAGGGGGCCTGCTCGGGGCCATTCTCAGAGTGGCCCGCCCACCTGTTCCTGGGCTAACTGCCTGCATTCTCGCCTGCCATGCCTTGATCTTAATTAGTTAAATCAATGTTAATAAGCAGGAGGCTGCCCATTTATTACCCTGATGCCAGGGGATGCTATCTGCAGCTCTTTTCCTCCCCTACAACGCAGCCCAAGCCTCGCAGATGGCATCTAGGTGTTCTTATCATCACTGGCCCCACACTGGGCCCCAGAATACTTCTATCAGGACCCCTTCAATATCCCTCCATTCAGGTAGCCTACCCTGCCTTCATTTAGCTATCTAGCTCCCTGAAACTATTTTCCCCTCTCAGGTGTGGTCCCCCCGGACCTTTGGCTACCAGCCCTGGCCCACCTCCAGGCCAGTCGGGACCCCAGCCCCTCAGCTCTTGGGCATCCCTTGTGGTGGGTCCCTGGCCCTGTTGACCATCCTGGTCCTGGCCCCAGCATGGGCCAGTCGAGGGTACTCTCTTGATCAGGTCTGAGTCTCTAACCCCTCTCTCTCTCCTGGGGTCTGCCCTCTGGGCCCTACAGACACAGGGGTCACCCACCCAGTGGTGGGGGATAGGGGTTAAGGCACCCCGACCCACCTTTCACCAGGATGATAACTGGCCTGGCATTTCCTGGGGTCTCCCACACCACTGGGAGCCCCACCAGGCCACCCACTCCCAGCAGGGTGCAGTTTTAGGTCATGCCCAGGACCAAGAGCCTCCTTACCATCCCCTACAGCTCCTCCCTTACCTCCAGATGTAGATCTGCAGCCCTCCAGCCAGGCAATGTTGTTGCCTGGCCTCTAGCAACTGAGCTGCCCTGTTTATATGGGCAGCCCCAAATGCCAAAATGGCTCCTGGCAGCTGCCAGCTCCTGGACCTTAAAGTGGCAGGCACAACCAGTTTCCTGCCACAGCCCCCTTCACCAGAGATAATGATAATAATAATCGGACAGCAGGAAAAAAATACCAGTTTTGGGCCCCCTTTCTGTTCAGGCCCCAGGCAGTAGCCCGGTTCACCCATGCCTGTGTCTGGGTCTTCCCACCTTTGACAGTGGGCAATCCCAGATGTAAGCATCCTGTAGCAGGCAGATATGGCATAGTCTGCCCCTGTAGAAGGTCTCATTCTAATCTCTGATGAAGACTGATCAAAGCCCTGAAGCCCAACGTTTAATATGCTTCCAAATTTATCATAATTAATCATCACAACTCTGATACTCTGGATATTTATATAGGTCACCAATACCTATTTTAACTTTAAGTTCTGAGCCTCAGGTTCCTGTAGCAGTGAGTTCTATTGATGATGTGATGTGTGGGGAAAATCTTTTCTTTTAGCAGTTTTCAGTTTCCCACACTTTAAATCCATTGACCTTCCCCTTATTCTTGTATAAATAACAATATTTTCTAGTTAACATTTTCTATTCCAGTCATTGTGTAGGCTTTTACCCTGGCCCCTCTCTACAGCAAACCATTCCAAACTTTTCTCTGAGGATGATCAGTACACCCTATATCCATTCAGTCATAGTGGGTGAGCAGGACGGATGGGATGAGAGTAGAAGTGAGGATGGAAGAGCTTCATAAATAAGGTACGGTCAGCCCTGTGCTCTGAGTTGTACATTAGTTCATGAGTTTTAGGGGTGTGGTGGCAGGTCCAGAGGTGCAAGTGCAAGCCCTGTTCTGGACTCTTGGCAAAGGCTGCCCATCAGTTGACCCAGCTGTGAATGGGCACCTAGTCAGTCCATTTGGGGAACCAAAGACAACCAGCTGTAATGTCACTGTGTGATATTGGCTAAGAAACTGGGGTGTTTTGACCACACTTATACATGTGTAAGAGACCATTCCTGCCACTGAAAAACTACCAATCTAAGCATACAAGGTAGACCAGTGGTAGGGAAAAGGCAGTATTCTTGTTCCCATTTTACAGATGGGTAATTGAGGGCCAGATTCTCAGCTGCTGCAAATTATATCGATAGAACTTCATTTGTTTACATCTCTGTAGAACTGAAAATTGTACTGGATCTTGTCGTGGAAACACACGCAGCATACTTTTGGGTCAGGTCAACAGAAGCTTTTATTCAAATGAAACTACAGCTGTAGGGGGGACTCCAAAGTGACATGGATTTTCTAAGCACTTGGAAGGGGTTCCCCCCCAAGAACAAAATCAGGAGGCTTATATACTTTTTAACAGTTGCTTACAACTCACGTGATCATATAGTGGAGTTTGCTAGAAAAAGCAGCTACAAACACTAGCTCATTACTGCTTGGCTGTTATCGGGATGGGAATTATGGGGGAGACAAGGTTAGTTCACAAACCCCCTTCTTGCACCTGGAAATCAGAGTTGTACATACTTTTTTTTTTGCTATCTTCAAGGCCACGGTGAGTGAAGCAGTTGCAGAGGAGTTACAAAGAACAAACACTTTCCCTTATCTGTTCCACTATGCAGAGCCAGCAATTCTCCACAAAGCGGTTATGTCATCTTATAACTCGTATGATCAAAGTTTAAGGCATTTATTTTTTTTTCTTTTTCTGATTCCACAATCTCCTCTGTTACAGAAGTATCTGCAATAAAGGGTTTTCAGGAGGCTTGAACAGGGTGGAATAGTCACACTTAGGAACCTAAGTCCATGTAGACATTTAAAAGGTAGAATAAAATCTGGTCTATGGTGTCTTTGATTCCCCACACTCATGACAGTCCTCCCTCTGGCAGAGCTGCCCTTTTTGTTGAGCTTTTCAGTTCTTGCCAACTGTCTGTGTTGCACAGGGTTTGTCATCATTAAAATTGTTTTTTTGTGTTGTGCAGTATGTAAGGAGGAGTGAGTGGCTGCTGACGCCTCGAGCTGTTACCTGACTTTCCATAAGCTGATTCTCCATCTCCAGGGAGGCAAAGAGTGAGTTTGTTCTTCTTAAAGCAGCACTTTGCTTTGCACCTACCAGTTGGCTCTGTGAACAACCACTGCACCCAAGGGGCCCCGGTTTTGCTGGACTCACTATCCACTTCTCTAATAACATCTTCTCTTATGCAGGCCAGGGTGGCTCAAACAGCTCTTCATGGACTTCATCTCATTTACCTTGAAGCTCATTCTTAAACGCCAGGTAGGGAACATAAATAATGAGATGACACAATGGAAAAGGCTGTCTGATGTCTACTGAGTACTATATAAACCTTTGGCACTCACACATAGTGTGATACAGATGTTAGGGGCTGCGCTGTAGCTCATGGCACTTTACACAAAGCACCATGAGTTAAGAGCCCCTTCCTCCGACCCAACTGATGTTCACCTGTTGGGTCAGGGGGCGTCAAACTTACCTGCACTGGCCCTGGCCAGCAGACTTGGGTGCTCCAGCAGCCTCAGAGTAGGCTGCTAAACGTCCTTTCTCCCCAGCTCTGGGGCTGTCAGTTGTGGGGGGAGGGAAGGGAGCAACAGGCAGCTGCTGGCTGTTTTGCCCATCCTGAGCTGGAGTGGGGGGTGGAATGTAGCCCTCTTGCCTCATGCCACCC